GGGTGTGGGGTTGCATGGCGCAGTTCCTTGTCCCCCCCGAGCAGCAGCGTGGTGGGAAGCTGAAGCCGAAGGCCAGGTGGGGCCTTCACCTGGGCGTGTCGGCGGCGAGCAAGGGTTGGGAGCTCCTTTGACGTCGATGCCAACCGGGTGGTCACCACGTCGGACGTGGAGTTCTACGAGGAGATGTCGCTGGCCGAATGGAAGTCGGAGCACGGGCCGGTGTCCGGTCCGCTCGTCGTCCACCCCGCCCTCTAACAACCTCGTCGGCGACGCTGCCGCTGCTTGCCGAGGTCGGTGAGCTTGCTGCTGAGGACGTAGAGGACGTCCGCCCCCCTACCCCTCCCCCTACGACCCCTGTCCCTCCCCTCGTGGCCGACCTGCGTGGGCTGACCTTGGTGTCGGCCTCCGGCGATGAGGGGAGTAGTGGGACGCCGCCTTCGGCGCCGGCCAAGAGCATCGCCGGTGGCCGACGTGACGAGCGGCAGGTCGACGTGGGATTGAAGCCGACGTCGACGGGGGAGGAGCAGGTCGAGGAGCAGCAGCCGACAGGGGAGCAGGCAGCCGTGAAGCCGACTACGGAGCAGTCGGCGACCGGGGCAGTCGGCAGGGGAGCCGACCACAGGGGAGAGGTCGACCAGGAAGTCGACCGAGGTGCAGCAGGACGACGAGGGCAGTGAAGACGGTGACGCCGGGGAGTCCACCAAGAGTGACGTGGTGGAGGTTCGGCCGGAAACCCGGAAGTCGGACAGAATTCGGAGGCCACCTGACTTCTTCATCCCCGCTGCCTTCACCACGGTTTACGACGTCGACGACGACGACGACCTGCTGTACGACGACGCCGAGGACGATGAGGAGTTTCCGGAGCTCGACCCAGACGTGCTGGCCGACCCCGAACATCGTTGGGATATCTCGACGATGACGGTGAAGGAGGCGTTGGCGAGCTGGAAGGGCCCGGCGGTGAAAGCCGCCATGGAGGAGGAGATCCGCAGCCTCATCAGCATGGGGACTTGGGAGCTGGTCGAAACGCCCGCCGGGAGTGAACATCATGAAGAACCGGTGGGTGCTGACGACGAAGTACCACATCGACGACACCGTCGAACGAGAGAAGGCGAGGCTGGTCGTGAAGGGCTTCACGCAGGTGTACGGCGCCGACTACGACGAGACGTTCGCGCCGGTGGGCAGCTACGTCACGCTGAGGATCTTCCTCAGCATCGTCGCCGTCCTCAACCTCAACCTGATGCAGCTCGACATGAAGAACGCCTTCCTGCAGAGCAAGCTCGACCGGGTGCTCTACATGTCCCAGCCGGACTACTTCAACGACGGAACCGGCTGGGTCTGCAAGCTGCTGAAGAGCCTGTACGGGCTGAAGCAGTCGCCGCTGCTGTGGTACTTGGCGGTCAACGACGTGCTGGTCGGCGCCGGGTGGAAGAAGAGCCAGGTCGACGAGGCTCTTTACTTCAAGGTCGGAGAGGCCGGAGTGGGCTGCTGGGTGCTGGTCTACGTCGACGACCTGCTCGCCGCCAGCAGCAGCACCGAGATGCTGCAGGAGCTGAAGGAGCTGCTGGAGTCCGCCTTCGAGCTGCGTGAGATCTCGCCGGTGCAGAAGTACCTCGGGCTGGAGATCGTCCGCGACAGGCCGGCGGGGAAGCTGTGGCTGCACCAGCAGGGCTACGCCGACAAGCTGCGTAGGCGCTTCATCGACGAGGAGCAGACCGGGCGGACTCCGAAGACGCCGGTCTCGGTCGACGCCTACGCCAAGCTCACCTTCGACGACGAGGAGGCGCAGGAGCGACAGGAGGAGGAGTACCGGCAGAAGGTCGGCTCGCTGCAGTTCGCAGCGACGACGACGAGGCCGGACGTCGCCTTCGCCTGCAGCAAGCTGGGGAGCGGCCTCACGGTGAGGAGCGACCAGCACTGGCGCGAGGTCGACCGCTGCCTCGCCTACCTCGCCAACACGCGTGACACCGCCCTGGAGTTCGGCGGTGGACCTGAGTCGCTGGAGCTGGTCGGCTACGTGGACGCCGACGACGCCGGTGATAAGCAGAACAGGACGAGCACGGGCGGCTACGTGTTCGTCTACGGAGGGGCCGCGGTCTCCTGGTCGAGCCAGCGCATCAAGTGCGCGACGCTGTCGTCGACCGAGTCGGAGTACGTGGCGGCCACCGAAGCCGGGAAGGAGGGACGCCGACTTCGCTTCCTCCTCGCAGAGTTCCAGCAGCTGGATGCTGGGAAGCCGACCGTCCTTCGGGTGGACAACAAGTCGGCCATCACAGTCGCCGAGGGCATGGGGTTGACGGGCAACCTCAAGCACATGGAGCGGCGACAGGCCTGGCTGCAGCACATGGTGAAGCGCGGGAAGTTCTCGCTGCAGTACATCCGGACCGCTGAGCAGCCAGCCGACTTCCTGACGAAGGCGCTGCACTATCCGGCCTTCAACCGGTGCTCCGTCGCAATCGGCCAGGTGCGCTTGGCCGACGTGGGCGACGAAGTTGACGACGTGCAGCAGTAGGTGCCATGCCCTCTTGCATGGCTGGTGCGGTGGACGACATGCTGTGTGTTGGGTGCACGTCGACGAGCTAGTCTCCGAGGAATACTGCCGTGTGGGCTGGGGGCCCAAGCGTGAACGCGGCAGGGGAGTGTCAACGGGAGTTGTGTGTTGGCCCCGTCCTCGCTTGGGCGGAGCCGACTTTGTGGTCGGGTGTGAGGGGAGCAGCCGACCTGCAGCGGTGGGCGAGCTGGTTGACGAAGAGGTCGACCTGCACGGGGACCACTGCACGGGCGCCGACTTCAGGGTGGCGCCGACTTCGGGGAGGTCGACTTGGGAGTCGACCTGCGGAGGACGTCAACTTGGTGACATCAACTTGGGGAAGCCGATTTCGGTGGTCGGCTGACGGGCCTGCTGGTCGACCTGCTGGTGGTCGACTGGACCTGGTGGTCGACGACGGAGGGGCCGACGTCGACCTCGGCTCAGGACGCCGAGCAGTTGGGCGTCGAGTAGCGGGGCGTCAACTTCGTGACGCCGACTTCGGGTGGCCGACGTGGGTGGTCGGCCGACAACTACGCTGGTCGACGAGGAGTAGGTCGACCAGGAGTGACGTCGACCTGGAGGAGGTCGAACGAGGGTGTGTTCGACCTGGTGAGGTCGACTGGAGGTGGCCGTCGACTTGGGAGGTCGACGGGCACCCGCTGGTCGACGTGGTTGCCCGGAGGACCAGGTTACCTGGGTGACGATGATCTGCGGAGGAATGCGACGGTCGCCCAGGCGAAGTTGGCGAGCACGACCTCGGTGGTGTTATCCCGAGGTCGTCGTGGCGGATCAGAAGCAGTCGTCAGCACGAGGTTGACGTGGTGTGTGCGCTGTGCAGGTGACGAGACTCTGTACGCCAATCACCTGCGCGCACCTGCGAAGCGGGTGCACTGCTGTTCTGCGTGAGCAACGCTGGCACACCGTCAACCCGCGACGTTGGCACGCCGTCGACCTTGCACTGCTGGAAAGCGGTCGACCAAGTCGTGCTGGAATGCGGCCGACCAAGCTGCGCTGGCAGTTGGCCGACTTGAATGTTTGCTCTGATGTAGTCTTGTGATGCCAACTTCATTGTACCATTGTTCTGAACTTTTCCTAGTGGAACTCTTGCCAACTTTCCCCGTGAACTAGAAAGTAGTGTGCGCGCAAGGAAAACGACTAAGGACTAACGAACGCAGAGATCACACGAGCACCCGTGCCTAGCCCGTAGTCTAGCTCCCGTTGTAGTAGTTATCTCCGCAGAGGTGATGGAAAGCGGGAGAATGGGGCGGGGTGATGGAAAGCGGGAGAATGGGGCGGGGTGATGGAAGGAGGGAGAATAAGGCGGGTTGATGGAAAGCGGGAGCATGGGGCGGGGTGATGGAAAGCGGGAGAATGGGGTGGGGGTGATGGAAAGCGGGAGAATGGGGCGGGGTGATGGAAAGAGGGAGAATGGGACGGGGTGATGGAAAGCGGGAGAATGGGGCGGGGTGATGGAAGGAGGGAGAATGGGGCGGGGTGATGGAAAGCGGGAGAATGGGGCGGGGTGATGGAAAGCGGGCGAATGGGGCGGGGTGATGGAAAGCGGGAGAATGGGGCGGGGTGATGGAAAGCGGGAGAATGGGGCGAGGTGATGGAAAGCGGGAGAATGGGGCAGGGTGATGGAAGGAGGGAGAATGGGGCAGGGTGATGGAAAGCGGGAGAATGGGACGGGGTGATGGAAGGAGGAAGAATGGGGCGGGTTGATGGAAGGAGGGAGAATGGGGCGGGGTGATGGAAAGCGGGAGAATGGGGCGAGGAGATGGAAAGCGGGAGAATGGGGCGGGGTGATGGAATACGGGAGAATGGGGCGGCGTCATGGAAGGAGGGAGAATGGGGCGGGGTGATGGAAGGAGGGAGAATGGGGCGGGGTGATGGAAAGCGGGAGAATGGGGCGGGGTGATGGAAAGCGGGAGAATGGGGCGGGGTGATGGAAGGAGGGAGAATGGGGCGGGGTGATGGAAAGCGGGAGAATGGGGAGGGGTGATGGAAAGCGGGAGAATGGGGCGGGGTGATGGAAAGCGGGAGAATGGGTCGGGGTGATGGAAAGCGGGAGAATGGGGTGGGGTGATGGAAAGCGGGAGAATGGGGCGGGGTGATGGAAAGAGGGAGAATGGGACGGGGTGATGGAAAGCGGGAGAATGGGGCGGGGTGATGGAAGGAGGGAGAATGGGGCGGGGTGATGGAAAGCGGGAGAATGGGGCGGGGTGATGGAAAGCGGGAGAATGGGGCGGGGTGATGGAAAGCGGGAGAATGGGGCGGGGTGATGGAAAGCGGGAGAATGGGGCGAGGTGATGGAAAGCGGGAGAATGGGGCAGGGTGATGGAAGGAGGGAGAATGGGGCAGGGTGATGGAAAGCGGGAGAATGGGACGGGGTGATGGAAGGAGGAAGAATGGGGCGGGGTGATGGAAGGAGGGAGAATGGGGCGGGGTGATGGAAAGCGGGAGAATGGGGCGAGGAGATGGAAAGCGGGAGAATGGGGCGGGGTGATGGAATACGGGAGAATGGGGCGGCGTCATGGAAGGAGGGAGAATGGGGCGGGGTGATGGAAGGAGGGAGAATGGGGCGGGATGATGGAAGGAGGAAGAATGGGGCGGGGTGATGGAAAGCGGGAGAACAGGGCGGGGTGATGGAAAGCGGGAGAATGGGGTGGGGTGATGGAAAGCGGGAGAATGGGGCGGGGTGTGGAAAGCGGGAGAATGGGGCGGGGTGATGGAAAGCGGGAGAATGGGGCGAGGTGATGGAAGGAGGGAGAATGGGGCGGGGTGATGGAAGGAGGGAGAATGGGGCGGGGTGATGGAAAGCAGAAGAATGGGGCGGGGTGATGGAAAGCGGGAGAATGGGGCGGGGTGATGGGAGGCGGGAGAATGGGGCGGAGTGATGGAAGGCGGGAGAATGGGGCGGGATGATGGAAGGAGGGAGAATGGGGCAGGGTGATGGAAAGCGGGAGAATGGGGCGGGGTGATGGAAGGCGGGAGAATGGGGCGGAGTGATGGAAGGCGGGAGAATGGGGCGGGATGATGGAAGGTGGGAGAATGGGGCGGGGTGATGGAAAGCGGGAGAATGGGGCAGGGTGATGGAAAGCGGGAGAATGGGGCGGGTGATGGAAAGCGGGAGAATGGGGCGGGGTGATGGAAGGCGGGAGAATGGGGGCGGAGTGATGGAAGGCGGGAGAATGGGGCGGGATGATGGAAGGAGGGAGAATGGGGCGGGGTGATGGAAAGCGGGAGAATGGGGCAGGGTGATGGAAAGCGGGAGAATGGGGCGGGTGATGGAAAGCGGGAGAATGGGGCGGGGGTGATGGAAAGCGGGAGAATGGGGCGGGGTGATGGAAAGCGGGAGAATGGGGCGAGGTGATGGAAGGAGGGAGAATGGGGCGGGGTGATGGAAGGAGGGAGAATGGGGCGGGGTGATGGAAAGCAGAAGAATGGGGCGGGGTGATGGAAAGCGCGAGAATGGGGCGGGGTGATAGAAAGCGGGAGAATGGGGCGAGGTGATGGAAAGCGGGAGAATGGGGGCGGGGTGATGGAAAGCGGGAGATTGGGGCGGGGTGATGGAATGCGGGAGAATGGGGCGGGGGGATGGAAAGCGGGAGAATGGGGCGTGGTGATGGAAGGAGAGAGAATGGGGCGGGGTGATGGAAAGCGGGAGAATGGGGCGGGGTGATGGAAAGCGGGAGAATGGGGCGGGGTGATGGAAAGCGGGAGATGGGGCGGGGTGATGGAAAGCGGGAGAATGGGGCGGGGTGATGGAAAGCGGGAGAATGGGGCGGGGTGATGGAAAGCGGGAGAATGGGGCGGGGTGATGGAAAGCGGGAGAATGGGGTGGGGTGATGGAAAGCGGGAGAATGGGGCGGGGTGATGGAAAGAGGGAGAATGGGACGGGGTGATGGAAAGCGGGAGAATGGGGCGGGGTGATGGAAGGAGGGAGAATGGGGCGGGGTGATGGAAAGCGGGAGAATGGGGCGGGGTGATGGGAAGCGGGAGAATGGGGCGGGGTGATGGAAAGCGGGAGAATGGGGCGGGGGTGATGGAAGGAGGGAGAATGGGGCGGGGTGATGGAAATCGGGAGAATGGGGCGGGGTGATGGGAAGCGGGAGAATGGGGCGGGGTGATGGAAAGCGGGAGAATGGGGCGGGGTGATGGAAAGCGGGAGAATCGGGCGAGGTGATGGAAAGCGGGAGAATGGGGCAGGGTGATGGAAGGAGGGAGAATGGGGCGGGGTGATGGAAAGCGGGAGAATGGGGCGGGGTGATGGGAAGCGGGAGAATGGGGGCGGGGTGATGGAAAGCGGGAGAATGGGGCGGGGTGATGGAAAGCGGGAGAATGGGGCGGGGTGATGGAAAGCGGGAGAATGGGGCGGGGTGATGGAAAGCGGGAGAATGGGGCGGGGTGATGGAAGGAGGGAGAATGGGGCGGGGTGATGGAAGGAGGGAGAATGGGGCGGGGTGATGGAAAGCGGGAGAATAGGGAGGGGTGATGGAAAGCGGGAGAATGGGGCGGGGTGATGGAAAGCGGGAGAATGGGTCGGGGTGATGGAAAGCGGGAGAATGGGGCGGGTGATGGAAAGCGGGAGAATGGGGCGGGGTGATGGAAGGCGGGAGAATGGGGCGGAGTGATGGAAGGCGGGAGAATGGGGCGGGATGATGGAAGGAGGGAGAATGGGGCGGGGTGATGGAAAGCGGGAGAATGGGGCAGGGTGATGGAAAGCGGGAGAATGGGGCGGGTGATGGAAAGCGGGAGAATGGGGCGGGGTGATGGAAAGCGGGAGAATGGGGCGGGTGATGGAAAGCGGGAGAATGGGGCGAGGTGATGGAAGGAGGGAGAATGGGGCGGGGTGATGGAAGGAGGGAGAATGGGGCGGGGTGATGGAAAGCAGAAGAATGGGGCGGGGTGATGGAAAGCGGGAGAATAGGGAGGGGTGATGGAAAGCGGGAGAATGGGGCGGGGTGATGGAAAGCGGGAGAATGGGACGGGGTGATGGAAAGCGGGAGAATGGGGCGGGGTGATGGAAGGAGGGAGAATGGGGCGGGGTGATGGAAAGCGGGAGAATGAGGCGGGGTGATGGAAAGCGGGAGAATGGGGCGGGGTGATGGAAAGAGGGAGAATGGGGCGGGGTGATGGAAAGAGGGACAATGGGGCGGGGTGATGGAAAGCGGGAGAATGGGGCGGGTGATGGAAAGCGGGAGAATGGGGCGGGGTGATGGAAAGCGGGAGAATGGGGCGAGGTGATGGAAAGCGGGAGAATGGGGCAGGGTGATGGAAGGAGGGAGAATGGGGCGGGGTGATGGAAAGCGGGAGAATGGGACGGGGTGATGGAAGGAGGAAGAATGGGGCGGGGTGATGGAAGGAGGGAGAATGGGGCGGGGTGATGGAAAGCGGGAGAATGGGGCGGGGAGATGAAAAGCGGGAGAATGGGGCGGGGTGATGGAATACGGGAGAATGGGGCGGCGTCATGGAAGGAGGGAGAATGGGGCGGGGTGATGGAAGGAGGGAGAATGGGGCGGGGTGATGGAATGCGGGAGAATGGGGCGGGGTGATGGAAAGCGGGAGAATGGGGCAGGGTGATGGAAAGAAGGAGAATGGGGCGGGGTGATGGAAAGCGGGAGAATGGGGCGGGGTGATGGAAAGCGGGAGAATGGGGCGGGGTGATGGAAAGCGGGAGAATGGGACGGGGTGATGGAAGGAGGGAGAATGGGGCAGGGTGATGGAAGGAGGGAGAATGGGGCGGGGTGATGGAAAGCGGGAGAATGGGGCGGGGTGATGGAAAGCGGGAGAATGGGGCGGGGGGATGGAAAGCGGGAGAATGGGGCGGGGTGATGGAAAGCAGAAGAATGGGGCGGGGTGATGGAAGGAGGGAGAATGGGGCGGGATGATGGAAGGAGGAAGAATGGGGCGGGGTGATGGAAAGCGGGAGAATAGGGCGGGTGATGGAAAGCGGGAGAATGGGGCGGGGTGATGGAAAGCGGGAGAATGGGGCGGGGTGTGGAAAGCGGGAGAATGGGGCGGGGTGATGGAAAGCGGGAGAATGGGGCGGAGTGATGGAAGGAGGGAGAATAGGGCGGGGTGATGGAAGGAGGGAGAATGGGGCGGGGTGATGGAAAGCAGAAGAATGGGGCGGGGTGTTGAAAAGCGGGAGAATGGGGCGGGGTGATGGAAAGCGGGAGAATGGGGCGAGGTGATGGAAAGCGGAAGAATGGGGCGGGGTGATGGAAAGCGGGAGAATGGGGCGGGGTGATGGAAAGCGGGAGAATGGGGCGGGGGGATGGAAAGCGGGAGACTGAGGCGGGGTGATGGAAAGCGGGAGAATGGGGTGGGGTGATGGAAGGAGGGAGAATGGGGCGGGGTGATGGAAGGAGGGAGAATGGGGCGGGGGTGATGGAAAGCGGGAGAATGGGGCGGGGTGATGGAAAGCGGGAGAATGGGGCGGGGGTGATGGAAAGCGGTAGAATGGGGCGGGGTGATGGAAAGCGGGAGAATGGGACGGGGTGATGGAAATCGGGAGAATGGGGCGGGGTGATGGAAAGCGGGAGAATGGGGTGGGGTGATGGAAGGAGGGAGAATGGGGCGGGGTGATGGAAGGAGGGAGAATGGGGCGGTGATGGAAAGCGGGAGAATGGGGCGGGGTGATGGAAAGCGGGAGAATGGGGCGGGGTGATGGAAGGCGGGAGAATGGGGCGGAGTGATGGAAGGCGGGAGAATGGGGCGGGATGATGGAAGGTGGGAGAATGGGGCGGGGTGATGGAAAGCGGGAGAATGGGGCAGGGTGATGGAAAGCGGGAGAATGGGGCGGGTGATGGAAAGCGGGAGAATGGGGCGGGGTGATGGAAGGCGGGAGAATGGGGCGGAGTGATGGAAGGCGGGAGAATGGGGCGGGATGATGGAAGGAGGGAGAATGGGGCGGGGTGATGGAAAGTGGGAGAATGGGGCAGGGTGATGGAAAGCGGGAGAATGGGGCGGGTGATGGAAAGCGGGAGAATGGGGCGGGGTGATGGAAAGCGGGAGAATGGGGCGGGGTGATGGAAAGCGGGAGAATGGGGCGAGGTGATGGAAGGAGGGAGAATGGGGCGGGGTGATGGAAGGAGGGAGAATGGGGCGGGGTGATGGAAAGCAGAAGAATGGGGCGGGGTGATGGAAAGCGGGAGAATGGGGCGGGATGATAGAAAGCGGGAGAATGGGCGAGGTGATGGAAAGCGGGAGAATGGGGCGGGGTGATGGAAAGCGGGAGATTGGGGCGGGGTGATGGAATGCGGGAGAATGGGGCGGGGGGATGGAAAGCGGGAGAATGGGGCGTGGTGATGGAAGGAGAGAGAATGGGGCGGGTTGATGGAAAGCAGAAGAATGGGGCGGGGTGATGGAAAGCGGGAGAATGGGGCGGGATGATAGAAAGCGGGAGAATGGGGCGAGGTGATGGAAAGCGGGAGAATGGGGCGGGGTGATGGAAAGCGGGAGAATGGGGCGGGGTGATGGAAAGCGGGAGAATGGGGCGGGGTGATGGAAAGCGGGAGAATGGGGCGGGGTGATGGAAAGCGGGAGAATGGGGCGGGGTGATGGAAAGCGGGAGAATGGGGTGGGGTGATGGAAAGCGGGAGAATGGGGGCGGGGTGATGGAAAGAGGGAGAATGGGACGGGGTGATGGAAAGCGGGAGAATGGGGCGGGGTGATGGAAGGAGGGAGAATGGGGCGGGGTGATGGAAAGCGGGAGAATGGGGCGGGGTGATGGGAAGCGGGAGAATGGGGCGGGGTGATGGAAAGCGGGAGAATGGGGCGGGGTGATGGAAGGAGGGAGAATGGGGCGGGGTGATGGAAAGCGGGAGAATGGGGCGGGGTGATGGGAAGCGGGAGAATGGGGCGGGGTGATGGAAAGCGGGAGAATGGGGCGGGGTGATGGAAAGCGGGAGAATCGGGCGAGGTGATGGAAAGCGGGAGAATGGGGCAGGGTGATGGAAGGAGGGAGAATGGGGCGGGGTGATGGAAAGCGGGAGAATGGGGCGGGGTGATGGGAAGCGGGAGAATGGGGCGGGGTGATGGAAAGCGGGAGAATGGGGCGGGGTGATGGAAAGCGGGAGAATCGGGCGGGGTGATGGAAAGCGGGAGAATGGGGCGGGGTGATGGAAAGCGGGAGAATGGGGCGGGGTGATGGAAGGAGGGAGAATGGGGCGGGGTGATGGAAGGAGGGAGAATGGGGCGGGGTGATGGAAAGCGGGAGAATAGGGAGGGGTGATGGAAAGCGGGAGAATGGGGCGGGGTGATGGAAAGCGGGAGAATGGGTCGCGGTGACGGAAAGCAAGAGAATGGGGTGGGGTGATGGAAAGCGGGAGAATGGGGCGGGGTGATGGAAAGAGGGAGAATGGGACGGGGTGATGGAAAGCGGGAGAATGGGGCGGGGTGATGGAAGGAGGGAGAATGGGGCGGGGTGATGGAAAGCGGGAGAATGAGGCGGGGTGATGGAAAGCGGGAGAATGGGGCGGGGTGATGGAAAGAGGGAGAATGGGGCGGGGTGATGGAAAGAGGGACAATGGGGCGGGGTGATGGAAAGCGGGAGAATGGGGCGGGGTGATGGAAAGCGGGAGAATGGGGGGGGGTGATGGAAAGCGGGAGAATGGGGCGAGGTGATGGAAAGCGGGAGAATGGGGCAGGGTGATGGAAGGAGGGAGAATGGGGCGGGGTGATGGAAAGCGGGAGAATGGGACGGGGTGATGGAAGGAGGAAGAATGGGGCGGGGTGATGGAAGGAGGGAGAATGGGGCGGGGTGATGGAAAGCGGGAGAATGGGGCGGGGAGATGAAAAGCGGGAGAATGGGGCGGGGTGATGGAATACGGGAGAATGGGGCGGCGTCATGGAAGGAGGGAGAATGGGGCGGGGTGATGGAAGGAGGGAGAATGGGGCGGGGTGATGGAATGCGGGAGAATGGGGCGGGGTGATGGAAAGCGGGAGAATGGGGCAGGGTGATGGAAAGAAGGAGAATGGGGCGGGGTGATGGAAAGCGGGAGAATGGGGCGGGGTGATGGAAAGCGGGAGAATGGGGCGGGGTGATGGAAAGCGGGAGAATGGGACGGGGTGATGGAAGGAGGGAGAATGGGGCAGGGTGATGGAAGGAGGGAGAATGGGGCGGGGTGATGGAAAGCGGGAGAATGGGGAGGGGTGATGGAAAGCGGGAGAATGGGGCGGGGGGAGGGAAAGCGGGAGAATGGGGCGGGGTGATGGAAAGCAGAAGAATGGGGCGGGGTGATGGAAGGAGGGAGAATGGGGCAGGATGATGGAAGGAGGAAGAATGGGGCGGGGTGATGGAAAGCGGGAGAATAGGGCGGGGTGATGGAAAGCGGGAGAATGGGGCGGGGTGATGGAAAGCGGGAGAATGGGGCGGGGTGTGGAAAGCGGGAGAATGGGGCGGGGTGATGGAAAGCGGGAGAATGGGGCGAGGTGATGGAAGGAGGGAGAATGGGGCGGGGTGATGGAAGGAGGGAGAATGGGGCGGGGTGATGGAAGGAGGGAGAATGGGGCGGGGTGATGGAAAGCAGAAGAATGGGGCGGGGTGTTGAAAAGCGGGAGAATGGGGCGGGGTGATGGAAAGCGGGAGAATGGGGCGAGGTGATGGAAAGCGGAAGAATGGGGCGGGGTGATGGAAAGCGGGAGAATGGGGCGGGGTGATGGAAAGCGGGAGAATGGGGCGGGGGGATGGAAAGCGGGAGACTGAGGCAGGGTGATGGAAAGCGGGAGAATGGGGCAGGGTGATGGAAATCGGGAGAATTGGGCGGGGTGATGGAAAGCGGGAGAATGGGGTGGGGTGATGGAAGGAGGGAGAATGGGGCGGGGTGATGGAAGGAGGGAGAATGGGGCGGGGGTGATGGAAAGCGGGAGAATGGGGCGGGGTGATGGAAAGCGGGAGAATGGGGCGGGGTGATGGAAAGCGGTAGAATGGGGCGGGGTGATGGAAAGCGGGAGAATGGGACGGGGTGATGGAAATCGAGAGAATGGGGCGGGGTGATGGAAAGCGGGAGAATGGGTTGGGGTGATGGAAGGAGGGAGAATGGGGCGGGGTGATGGAAGGAGGGAGAATGGGGCGGTGATGGAAAGCGGGAGAATGGGGCGGGGTGATGGAAAGCGGGAGAATGGGGCAGGGTGATGGAAGGCGGGAGAATGGGGCGGAGTGATGGAAGGCGGGAGAATGGGGCGGGATGATGGAAGGTGGGAGAATGGGGCGGGGTGATGGAAAGCGGGAGAATGGGGCAGGGTGATGGAAAGCGGGAGAATGGGGCGGGTGATGGAAAGCGGGAGAATGGGGCGGGGTGATGGAAGGCGGGAGAATGGGGCGGAGTGATGGAAGGCGGGAGAATGGGGCGGGATGATGGAAGGAGGGAGAATGGGGCGGGGTGATGGAAAGCGGGAGAATGGGGCAGGGTGATGGAAAGCGGGAGAATGGGGCGGGTGATGGAAAGCGGGAGAATGGGGCGGGGTGATGGAAAGCGGGAGAATGGGGCGGGGTGATGGAAAACGGGAGAATGGGGCGGGGTGATGGAAAGCGGGAGAATGGGGCGAGGTGATGGAAGGAGGAAGAATGGGTCGGGGTGATAGAAGGAGGGAGAATGGGGCGGGGTGATGGAAAGCAGGAGAATGGGGCGGAGTGATGGAAAGCGGGAGAATGGGGTTGGGTGATGGAAAGCGGGAGAATGGGGCGGGGTGATGGATGGAGGGAGAATGGTGCGGGGTGATGGAAAGCGGGAGAATAGGGCGGGGTGATGGAAAGCGAGAGAATGGGGCGGGGTGATGAAAAGCGGGAGAATGGGGCGGGGTGATGGAAAGCGGGTGAATGGGGCGGGGTGATGGAAAGCGAGAGAATGGGGCGAGGTGATGGAAGGAGGAAGAAAGGGTCGGGGTGATAGAAGGAGGGAGAATGGGGCGGGGTGATGGAAAGCAGGAGAATGGGGCGGGGTGATGGAAAGCGGGAGAATGGGGTTGGGTGATGGAAAGGGAGAATGGGGCGGGGTGATGGAAGGAGGGAGAATGGGGCGGGGTGATGGAAAGCGGGAGAATGGGGCGGGGTGATGGAAAGCGGGAGAATGGAGCGGGGTGATGGAAGGCGGGAGAATGGGGCGGAGTGATGGAAGACGGGAGAATGGGGCGGGATGATGGAAGGAGGGAGAATGGGGCGGGGTGATGGAAAGCGGGAGAATGGGGCGGGGTGATGGAAAGCGGGAGAGTGGGGCGGGGTGATGGAAAGCGGGAGAATGGGGCGGGGTGATGGAAAGCGGGAGAAGGGGGTGGGGTGATGGAAAGCGGAAGAATGGGGCGGGGTGATGGAATGCGGGAGAAGGGGAGGGGGTGATGGAAAGCGGGAGAATGGGGCGGGGTGATGGAAGGCGGGAGAATGGGGCGGGGTGATGGCAAGCGGGAGAATGGGGCAGGGTGATGGAAAGCGGGAGAACGGGGCAGGGTGATGGAAAGCGGGAGAATGGGGCGGGGTGACGGAAAGCGAGAGAATGGGGCGGGGTGATGGAAAGCGGGAGAATGGGGCGGGGTGATGGAAAGCGGGAGAATGAGGAGGGGTGATGGAAATCGGGAGAATGGGGCGGGGTGATGGAAAGCGGGAGAATGGGGCGGGGTGATGGAAAGCGGGAGAATGGGGCGGGGTGATGGAAGGAAGGAGAATGGGGCGGGGTGATGGAAGGAGGGAGAATGGGGCGGGATGATGGAAAGCAGGAGAATGGGGCGGGGTGATGGAAAGCGGGAGAATGGGGCAGGGTGGTGGAAAGCGGGAGAATGGGGCGGGGGTGATGGAAAGCGAGAGAATAGGGCGGGGTGATGGAAGGAGGGAGAATGGGGCGGGGTGATGGAAGGAGGGAGAATGGGGTGGGGTGATGGAAAGCGGGAGAATGGGGCGGGGTGATGGAAGTAGGGAGAATGGGGCGGGGTGATAGAAAGCGGGAGAATGCGGCGGGGTGATAGAAAGCGGGAGAATGGGGCAGGGTGATGGAAAGCGGGAGAATGGGGCAGGGTGATGGAAAGCGAGAGAATGGGGCGGGGTGATGGAAAGCGGGAGAATGGGGCGGGGTGATGGAAAGCGGGAGAATGGGGCGGGGTGATGGAAAGCGGGAGAATGGGGCGGGGTGATGGAAGGAGGGAGAATGGGGCGGGGTGATGGAAGGAGGGAAAATGGGGTGGGGTGATGGAAAGCGGGAGAATGGGGCGGGGTGATGGAAGGAGGGAGAATGGGGCGGGGTGATGGAAAGCGGGAGAATGCGGCGGGGTGATAGAAAGCGGGAGAATGGGGCAGGGTGATGGAAAGCAGGAGAACTGGGCAGGGTGATGGAAAGCGGGAGAATGGGGCAGGGTGATGGAAAGCGAGAGAATGGGGCGGGGTGATGGAAAGCGGGAGAATGGGGCGGGGTGATGGAAAGCGGGAGAATGGGGCGGGGTGATGGAAAGCGGGAGAATGGGGCGGGGTGATGGAAGGAGGGAGAATGGGGCGGTGATGGAAAGCGGGAGAATGGCGCGGGGTGATGGAAAGCGAGAGAATAGGGCGGGGTGATGGAAAGCGGGAGAATGGGGCGGGGTGATGGAAAGCGGGAGAATGGGGCGGGGTGATGGAAGGAGGGAGAATGGGGCGGGGTGATGGAAGGAGGGAGAATGGGGTGGGGTGATGGAAAGCGGGAGAATGGGGCGGGGTGATGGAAGGAGGGAGAATGGGGCGGGGTGATGGAAAGCGGGAGAATGCGGCGGGGTGATAGAAAGCGGGAGAATGGGGCAGGGTGATGGAAAGCAGGAGAACTGGGCAGGGTGATGGAAAGCGGGAGAATGGGGCAGGGTGATGGAAAGCGAGAGAATGGGGCGGGGTGATGGAAAGTGGGAGAATGGGGCGGGGTGATGGAAAGCGGGAGAATGGGGCGGGGTGATGGAAAGCGGGAGAATGGTGCGGGGTGATGGAAGGAGGGAGAATGGGGCGGGGTGATGGAAGGAGGGAGAATGGGGTGGGGTGATGGAAAGCGGGAGAATGGGGCGGGGTGATGGAAGGAGGGAGAATGGGGCGGGGTGATGGAAAGCGGGAGAATGCGGCGGGGTGATGGAAAGCGGGAGAATGGGGCAGGGTGATGGAAAGCAGGAGAACTGGGCAGGGTGATGGAAAGCGGGAGAATGGGGCAGGGTGATGGAAAGCGGGAGAATGGGGCGGGGTGACGGAAAGCGAGAGAATGGGGCGGGGTGATGGAAAGCGGGAGAATGGGGCGGGGTGATGGAAAGCGGGAGAATGAGGAGGGGTGATGGAAAGCGAGAGAATGGGGCGGGGTGATGGAAAGCGGGAGAATGGGGCGTGGTGATGGAAAGCGGGAGAATGGGGCGGGGTGATGGAAGGAAGGAGAATGGGGCGGGGTGATGGAAGGAGGGAGAATGGGGCGGGGTGATGGAAAGCAGGAGAATGGGGCGGGGTGATGGAAAGCGGGAGAATGGGGCAGGGTGGTGGAAAGCGGGAGAACGGGGCAAGGTGATGGAAAGCGGGAGAATGGGGCGGGGTGATGGAAAGCGAGAGAATAGGGCGGGGTGATGGAAAGCGGGAGAATGGGGCGGGGTGATGGAAAGCGGGAGAATGGGGCGGGGTGATGGAAGGAGGGAGAATGGGGCGGGGTGATGGAAGGAGGGAGAATGGGGTGGGGTGATGGAAAGCGGGAGAATGGGGCGGGGGGATGGAAAGCGGGAGACTGAGGCGGGGTGATGGAAAGCGGGAGAATGGGGCAGGGTGATGGAAATCGGGAGAATTGGGCGGGGTGATGGAAAGCGGGAGAATGGGGTGGGGTGATGGAAGGAGGGAGAATGGGGCGGGGTGATGGAAGGAGGGAGAATGGGGCGGGGGTGATGGAAAGCGGGAGAATGGGGCGGGGTGATGGAAAGCGGGAGAATGGGGCGGGGTGATGGAAAGCGGTAGAATGGGGCGGGGTGATGGAAAGCGGGAGAATGGGACGGGGTGATGGAAATCGGGAGAATGGGGCGGGGTGATGGAAAGCGGGAGAATGGGTTGGGGTGATGGAAGGAGGGAGAATGGGGCGGGGTGATGGAAGGAGGGAGAATGGGGCGGTGATGGAAAGCGGGAGAATGGGGCGGGGTGATGGAAAGCGGGAGAATGGGGCGGGGTGATGGAAGGCTGGAGAATGGGGCGGAGTGATGGAAGGCGGGAGAATGGGGCGGGATGATGGAAGGTGGGAGAATGGGGCGGGGTGATGGAAAGCGGGAGAATGGGGCAGGGTGATGGAAAGCGGGAGAATGGGGCGGGTGATGGAAAGCGGAAGAATGGGGCGGGGTGATGGAAGGCGGGAGAATGGGGCGGAGTGATGGAAGGCGGGAGAATGGGGCGGGGTGATGGAAGGAGGGAGAATGGGGCGGGGTGATGGAAAGCGGGAGAATGGGGCAAGGTGATGGAAAGCGGGAGAATGGGGGCGGGTGATGGAAAGCGGGAGAATGGGGCGGGGTGATGGAAAGCGGGAGAATGGGGCGGGGTGATGGAAAGCGGGAGAATGGGGCGGGGTGATGGAAAGCGGGAGAATGGGGCGAGGTGATGGAAGGAGGAAGAATGGGTCGGGGTGATAGAAGGAGGGAGAATGGGGCGGGGTGATGGAAAGCAGGAGAATGGGGCGGAGTGATGGAAAGCGGGAGAATGGGGTTGGGTGATGGAAAGCGGGAGAATGGGGCGGGGTGATGGATGGAGGGAGAATGGTGCGGGGTGATGGAAAGCGGGAGAATAGGGCGGGGTGATGGAAAGCGAGAGAATGGGGCGGGGTGATGAAAAGCGGGAGAATGGGGCGGGGTGATGGAAAGCGGGTGAATGGGGCGGGGTGATGGAAAGCGAGAGAATGGGGCGAGGTGATGGAAGGAGGAAGAAAGGGTCGGGGTGATAGAAGGAGGGAGAATGGGGCGGGGTGATGGAAAGCAGGAGAATGGGGCGGGGTGATGGAAAGCGGGAGAATGGGGTTGGGTGATGGAAAGGGAGAATGGGGCGGGGTGATGGAAGGAGGGAGAATGGGGCGGGGTGATGGAAAGCGGGAGAATGGGGCGGGGTGATGGAAAGCGGGAGAATGGAGCGGGGTGATGGAAGGCGGGAGAATGGGGCGGAGTGATGGAAGACGGGAGAATGGGGCGGGATGATGGAAGGAGGGAGAATGGGGCGGGGTGATGGAAAGCGGGAGAATGGGGCGGGGTGATGGAAAGCGGGAGAGTGGGGCGGGGTGATGGAAAGCGGGAGAATGGGGCGGGGTGATGGAAAGCGGGAGAAGGGGGTGGGGTGATGGAAAGCGGAAGAATGGGGCGGGGTGATGGAATGCGGGAGAAGGGGACGGGGTGATGGAAAGCGGGAGAATGGGGCGGGGTGATGGAAGGCGGGAGAATGGGGCGGGGTGATGGCAAGCGGGAGAATGGGGCAGGGTGATGGAAAGCGGGAGAACGGGGCAGGGTGATGGAAAGCGGGAGAATGGGGCGGGGTGACGGAAAGCGAGAGAATGGGGCGGGGTGATGGAAAGTGGGAGAATGGGGCGGGGTGATGGAAAGCGGGAGAATGAGGAGGGGTGATGGAAAGCGGGAGAATGGGGCGGGGTGATGGAAAGCGGGAGAATGGGGCGGGGTGATGGAAAGCGGGAGAATGGGGCGGGGTGATGGAAGGAAGGAGAATGGGGCGGGGTGATGGAAGGAGGGAGAATGGGGCGGGATGATGGAAAGCAGGAGAATGGGGCGGGGTGATGGAAAGCGGGAGAATGGGGCAGGGTGGTGGAAAGCGGGAGAATGGGGCGGGGTGATGGAAAGCGAGAGAATAGGGCGGGGTGATGGAAGGAGGGGAGAATGGGGCGGGGTGATGGAAGGAGGGAGAATGGGGTGGGGTGATGGAAAGCGGGAGAATGGGGCGGGGTGATGGAAGTAGGGAGAATGGGGCGGGGTGATGGAAAGCGGGAGAATGCGGCGGGGTGATAGAAAGCGGGAGAATGGGGCAGGGTGATGGAAAGCGGGAGAATGGGGCAGGGTGATGGAAAGCGAGAGAATGGGGCGGGGTGATGGAAAGCGGGAGAATGGGGCGGGGTGATGGAAAGCGGGAGAATGGGGCAGGGTGATGGAAAGCGGGAGAATGGGGCGGGGTGATGGAAGGAGGGAGAATGGGGCGGGGTGATGGAAGGAGGGAAAATGGGGTGGGGTGATGGAAAGCGGGAGAATGGGGCGGGGTGATGGAAGGAGGGAGAATGGGGCGGGGTGATGGAAAGCGGGAGAATGCGGCGGGGTGATAGAAAGCGGGAGAATGGGGCAGGGTGATGGAAAGCAGGAGAACTGGGCAGGGTGATGGAAAGCGGGAGAATGGGGCAGGGTGATGGAAAGCGAGAGAATGGGGCGGGGTGATGGAAAGCGGGAGAATGGGGCGGGGTGATGGAAAGCGGGAGAATGGGGCGGGGTGATGGAAAGCGGGAGAATGGGGCGGGGTGATGGAAGGAGGGAGAATGGGGCGGTGATGGAAAGCGGGAGAATGGGGCGGGGTGATGGAAAGCGAGAGAATAGGGCGGGGTGATGGAAAGCGGGAGAATGGGGCGGGGTGATGGAAAGCGGGAGAATGGGGCGGGGTGATGGAAGGAGGGAGAATGGGGCGGGGTGATGGAAGGAGGGAGAATGGGGTGGGGTGATGGAAAGCGGGAGAATGGGGCGGGGTGATGGAAGGAGGGAGAATGGGGCGGGGTGATGGAAAGCGGGAGAATGCGGCGGGGTGATAGAAAGCGGGAGAATGGGGCAGGGTGATGGAAAGCAGGAGAACTGGGCAGGGTGATGGAAAGCGGGAGAATGGGGCAGGGTGATGGAAAGCGAGAGAATGGGGCGGGGTGATGGAAAGTGGGAGAATGGGGCGGGGTGATGGAAAGCGGGAGAATGGGGCGGGGTGATGGAAAGCGGGAGAATGGTGCGGGGTGATGGAAGGAGGGAGAATGGGGCGGGGTGATGGAAGGAGGGAGAATGGGGTGGGGTGATGGAAAGCGGGAGAATGGGGCGGGGTGATGGAAGGAGGGAGAATGGGGCGGGGTGATGGAAAGCGGGAGAATGCGGCGGGGTGATGGAAAGCGGGAGAATGGGGCAGGGTGATGGAAAGCAGGAGAACTGGGCAGGGTGATGGAAAGCGGGGAGAATGGGGTAGGGTGATGGAAAGCGAGAGAATGGGGCGGGGTGATGGAAAGCGGGAGAATGGGGCGGGGTGATGGAAAGCGGGAGAATGGGGCGGGGTGATGGAAAGCGGGAGAATGGGGCGGGATGATGGAAAGCAGGAGAATGGGGCGGGGTGATGGAAAGCGGGAGAATGGGGCGGGGTGATGGAAGGAGAGAGAATGGGGCGGGGTGATGGAAGGAGGGAGAATGGGGTGGGGTGGTGGAAAGCGGGAGAATGGGGCGGGGTGATGGAAGGAGGGAGAATGGGGCGGGGTGATGGAAAGCGGGAGAATGGGGCGGGGTGATGGAAGGAGGGAGAATGGGGCGGGGTGATGGAAGGAGGGAGAATGGGGCGGTGATGGAAAGCGGGAGAATGGGGCGGGGTGATGGAAGGCGGGAGAATGGAGCGGGGTGATGGAAAGCGGGAGAATGGGGCGGGGTGATGGAAAGCTGGAGAGTTGGGCGGGGTGATGGAAAGCGGGAGAATGGGCGGGGTGATGGAAAGCGGGAGAAGGGGGCGGGGTGATGGAAAGCGGAAGAATGGGGCGGGGTGATGGAATGCGGGAGAAGGGGACGGGGTGATGGAAAGCGGGAGAATGGGGCGGGGTGATGGAAAGCGGGAGAATGGGGCGGGGTGATGGCAAGCGGGAGAATGGGGCAGGGTGATGGAAAGCGGGAGAATGGGGCGGGGTGATGGAAGGAGGGAGAATGGGGCGGGGTGATGGAAGGAGGGAGAATGGGGCGGTGATGGAAAGCGGGAGAATGGGGCGGGGTGATGGAAGGCGGGAGAATGGGGCGGGGTGATGGAAAGCGGGAGAATGGGGCGTAGTGATGGAAAGCGGGAGAGTTGGGCGGGGTGATGGAAAGCGGGAGAATGGGGCGGGGTGATGGAAAGCGGGAGAAGGGGGCGGGGTGATGGAAAGCGGAAGAATGGGGCGGGGTGATGGAATGCGGGAGAAGGGGACGGGGTGATGGAAAGCGGGAGAATGGGGCGGGGTGATGGAAAGCGGGAGAATGGGGCGGGGTGATGGCAAGCGGGAGAATGGGGCAGGGTGATGGAAAGCGGGAGAATGGGGCAGGGTGATGGAAAGCGGGAGAATGGGGCGGGGTGACGGAAAGCGAGAGAATGGGGCGGGGTGATGGAAAGCGGGAGAATGGGGCGGGGTGATGGAAAGCGGGAGAATGAGGAGGGGTGATGGAAAGCGAGAGAATGGGGCGGGGTGATGGAAAGCGGGAGAATGGGGCGTGGTGATGGAAAGCGGGAGAATGGGGCGGGGTGATGGAAGGAAGGAGAATGGGGCGGGGTGATGGAAGGAGGGAGAATGGGGCGGGGTGATGGAAAGCAGGAGAATGGGGCGGGGTGATGGAAAGCGGGAGAATGGGGCGGGGTGATGGAAAGCGGGAGAATGGGGCAGGGTGGTGGAAAGCGGGAGAACGGGGCAAGGTGATGGAAAGCGGGAGAATGGGGCGGGGTGATGGAAAGCGAGAGAATAGGGCGGGGTGATGGAAAGCGGGAGAATGGGGCGGGGTGATGGAAAGCGGGAGAATGGGGCGGGGTGATGGAAGGAGGGAGAATGGGGCGGGGTGATGGAAGGAGGGAGAATGGTGTGGGGTGATGGAAAGCGGGAGAATGGGGCGGGGTGATGGAAGGAGGGAGAATGGGGCGGGGTGATGGAAAGCGGGAGAATGCGGCGGGGTGATAGAAAGCGGAGAATGGGGCAGGGTGATGGAAAGCAGGAGAACTGGGCAGGGTGATGGAAAGCGGGAGAATGGGGCAGGGTGATGGAAAGCGAGAGAATGGGGCGGGGTGATGGAAAGCGGGAGAATGGGGCGGGGTGATGGAAAGCGGGAGAATGGGGCGGGGTGATGGAAAGCGGGAGAATGGGGCGGGTGATAGAAAGCGGGAGAATGGGGCGGGGTGATGGAAATCGGGAGAATGGGGCGGTGTTATGGAAGGAGGGAGAATGGGGCGGGGTGATTGAAAGCGGGAGAATGGGGCGGGGTGATGGAAAGCGGGAGAATGGGGCGGGGAGATGGAAAGCGGGAGAATGGGGCGGGGTGATGGAAAGCGGGAGAATGGGGCGGGGTGATGGAAAGCGGGAGAATGGGGCGGGGTGATGGAAAGCGGGAGAATGGGGCGGGGTGATGGAAAGCGGGAGAATGGGGCGGGGTGATGGAAGGAGGGAGAATGGGGCGGGGTGATGGAAAGCGGGAGAATGGGGCAAGGTGATGGAAAGCGGGAGAATGGGGCAGGGTGATGGAAAGCGAGAGAATGGGGCGGGGTGATGGAAAGCGGGAGAATGGGTCGGGGTGATGGAAAGCAGGAGAACTGGGCAGGGTGATGGAAAGCGGGAGAATGGGGCAGGGTGATGGAAAGCGAGAGAATGGGGCGGGGTGATGGAAAGCGGGAGAATGGGGCGGGATGATGGAAAGCGGGAGAATGGGGCGGGGTGATGGAAAGCGGGAGAATGGGGCGGGTGATGGAAGGAGAGAGAATGGGGCGGGGTGATGGAAGGAGGGAGAATGGGGTGGGGTGATGGAAAGCGGGAGAATGGGGCGGGGTGATGGAAGGAGGGAGAATGGGGCGGGGTGATGGAAAGCGGGAGAATGGGGCGGGGTGATGGAAGGAGGGAGAATGGGGAGGGGTGATGGAAGGAGGGAGAATGGGGCGGTGATGGAAAGCGGGAGAATGGGGCGGGGTGATGGAAGGCGGGAGAATGGGGCGGGGTGATGGAAAGCGGGAGAATGGGGCGGGGTGATGGAAAGCGGGAGAATGGGGCGGGGTGATGGAAAGCGGAGAATGGGGCGGGGTGATGGAAAGCGGGAGAATGGAGCGGGGTGATGGAAGGCGGGAGAATGGGGCGGGGTGATGGAAAGCGGGAGAATGGGGCGGGGTGATGGAAGGAGGGAGAATGGGGCGGGGTGATGGAAAGCGGGAGAATGGGGCAGGGTGATGGAAAGCGGGAGAACGGGGCAGGGTGATGGAAAGCGGGAGAATGGGGCGGGGTGATGGAAAGCGGGAGAATAGGGCGGGGTGATGGAAAGCGGGAGAATGGGGCGGGGTGATGGAAGGAGGGAGAATGGGGCGGGTTGATGGAAGGAGGGAGAACGGGGTGGGGTGATGGAAAGCGGGAGAATGGGGCGGGGTGATGGAAGGAGGGAGAATGGGGCGGGGTGATGGAAAGCGGGAGAATGGGGCAAGGTGATGGAAAGCGGGAGAATGGGGCAGGGTGATGGAAAGCGGGAGAACGGGGCAGGGTGATGGAAAGCGGGAGAACGGGGCAGGGTGATGGAAAGCGAGAGAATGGGGCGGGGTGATGGAAAGCGGGAGAATGGGTCGGGGTGATGGAAAGCGGGAGAATGAGGCGGGGTGATGGAAAGCGGGAGAATGGGGCGGGGTGATGGAAAGCGGGAGAATGGGGCGGGGTGATGGAAGGAGGGAGAATGGGGCGGGGTGAAGCATCAGCTTCATGCTGATCCGCGCCGATGTATCCATTGGTACATCGGCATAATGCCGACACATGACGATGCACACATGGGTGCTTCAGCACCATGTCGATGCGCACCGATAAATCTATTGGTGCATCAGTACCATGGCGACGCACGCCGATGCATGCCATGCCAACGCACGCCGATGCATGCCTTGGTGCATCAGAACTATGCCGATGTGTGCCGATGCATCGTATGGTGCATCGACATCATGCCGACGTGCGCCGATGCATCCATTGGTGCATTGGCACCATGCCGTTGTGCGCCGATGCATGCCTTGGTGCATCGGCACCTTGCCCATGTCCGCCGATGCATCCATGGGTGCATCCGCACCATGCCGATGCACGCCGATGCACCCATTGGTGCATCAACTTCATGCCGATTTGCGCCGATGTATCCATTGGTGCATCGACACCATGTCGACGCACGCCGATGCACCCATGGGTGCTTCAGCACCATGCCGAAGCACGCCGATAGATCCATTGGTGCGTCGGCACCATCCCGACGCACGCCGATGCAGATATTGGTGCATCAGCTTTATGCCGATCCGCACCAATGTATCCATTGGTGCATCGGCACAATACCGACGCATGACGATGCACACATTGGTGCATCAGCGCCATGCCGATGCACGCCGATGGATCCATTGGTGCATCAGTACCATGCCGACGCGCGCCGATGCATGCTTTGGTGCATTAGTACCATGCTGATGTGCGCCGATGCATCTTTTGGAGCATCGGCATCGTGCCAACGTGCGCCGATGCATCCATTGGTGCATCGGAACCATGTTGTTGTGGGCCGCTGGATCCATTAGTGCATCGGCACCATGCCGACGCACGCGATGCACCCATTGGTGCATCAGCTTCATGCCGATCCGTGCCGATGTATCCATTAATGCATTGGCTTCATGCCGATGCGTGCCGATGGATCTATTGGTGCATCAGTACCATGCCGACGCACGCCGATGCATGCCATGCCGACGCACGCCAATGCATCAGTACCATGCCAATGTGTGCTGATGCATCCTCTGGTGTGCCGACATGCGCGGATGCATCCATTGGTGCATTGGCACAATGCCGTTGTGCGCCGATGCATGCCTTGGTGCATCGGCACCTTGCCCATGTCCGCCGATGCATCTGACGTGCGTGGGCAAGGTGCCGATTCTCCCTCCTTCCATCACCCCGCCCCATTCTCCCGCTTTCCATCACCCCACCCCATTCTCCCTCCTTCCATCACCCCGCCCCATTCTCCCTCCTTCCATCACCCCGCCCCATTCTCCCGCTTTCCATCACCCCGCCGCATTCTCCCGCTTTCCATCACCCCGCCCCATTCTCCCTCCTTCCATCACCCCGCCCCATTCTCCCGCTTTCCATCACCCCACCCCATTCTCCCTCCTTCCATCACCCCGCCCCATTCTCCCTCCTTCCATCACCCCGCCCCATTCTCCCGCTTTCCATCACCCCGCCCCATTCTCCCGCTTTCCATCACCCCGCCCCATTCTCCCGCTTTCCATCACCCCGCCCCATTCTCTCGCTTTCCATCACCCTGCCCCATTCTCCCGCTTTCCATCACCCCGCCCCATTCTCCCGCTTTCCATCACCCTGCCCCATTCTCTCGCTTTCCATCACCCTGCCCCATTCTCCCGCTTTCCATCACCCTGCCCAGTTCTCCTGCTTTCCATCACCCTGCCCCATTCTCCCGCTTTCTATCACCCCGCCGCATTCTCCCGCTTTCCATCACCCCGCCCCATTCTCCCTCCTTCCATCACCCCGCCCCATTCTCCCGCTTTCCATCACCCCGCCCCATTCTCCCTCCTTCCATCACCCCGCCCCATTCTCCCTCCTTCCATCACCCCGCCCCATTCTCCCGCTTTCCATCACCCCGCCCCATTCTCCCGCTTTCCATCACCCCGCCCTATTCTCTCGCTTTCCATCACCCCGCCCCATTCTCCCGCTTTCCATCACCATGCCCCGTTCTCCCGCTTTCCACCACCCTGCCCCATTCTCCCACTTTCCATCACCCCGCCCCATTCTCCTGCTTTCCATCACCCCGCCCCATTCTCCCTCCTTCCATCACCCCGCCCCATTCTCCTTCCTTCCATCACCCCGCCCCATTCTCACGCTTTCCATCACCCCGCCCCATTCTCCCGCTTTCCATCACCCCGCCCCATTCTCCCGCTTTCCATCACCCCTCCTCATTCTCCCGCTTTCCATCACCCCGCCCCATTCTCCCGCTTTCCATCACCCCGCCCCATTCTCTCGCTTTCCGTCACCCCGCCCCATTCTCCCGCTTTCCATCACCCTGCCCCATTCTCCCGCTTTCCATCACCCTGCCCCATTCTCCCGCTTGCCATCACCCCGCCCCATTCTCCCGCTTTCCATCACCCCGCCCCATTCTCCCGCTTTCCATCACCCCGTCCCCTTCTCCCGCATTCCATCACCCCGCCCCATTCTTCCGCTTTCCATCACCCCGCCCCCTTCTCCCGCTTTCCATCACCCCGCCCCATTCTCCCGCTTTCCATCACCCCGCCCCATTCTCCCGCCTTCCATCACCCCGCCCCATTCTCCCGCTTTCCATCACCGCCCCATTCTCCCTCCTTCCATCACCCCGCCCCATTCTCCCTCCTTCCATCACCCCGCCCCATTCTCCCGCTTTCCATCACCCCGCCCCATTCTCCCTCCTTCCATCACCCCGCCCCATTCTCCCGCTTTCCATCACCCCACCCCATTCTCCCTCCTTCCATCACCCCGCCCCATTCTCTCTCCTTCCATCACCCCGCCCCATTCTCCCGCTTTCCATCACCCCGCCCCATTCTCCCGCTTTCCATCATCCCGCCCCATTCTCCCGCTTTCCATCACCCCGCCCCATTCTCCCGCTTTCCATCACCCCGCCCCATTCTCCCGCTTTCCATCACCCCGCCCCATTCTCTCGCTTTCCATCACCCTGCCCCATTCTCCCGCTTTCCATCACCCTGCCCAGTTCTCCTGCTTTCCATCACCCTGCCCCATTCTCCCGCTTTCCATCACCCAGCCGCATTCTCCCGCTTTCCATCACCCCGCCCCATTCTCCCTCCTTCCATCACCCCGCCCCATTCTCCCGCTTTCCATCACCCCACCCCATTCTCCCTCCTTCCATCACCCCGCCCCATTCTCCCTCCTTCCATCACCCCGCCCCATTCTCCCGCTTTCCATCACCCCGCCCCATTCTCCCGCTTTCCATCACCCCGCCCCATTCTCCCGCTTTCCATCACCCCGCCCCATTCTCTCGCTTTCCATCACCCTGCCCCATTCTCCCGCTTTCCATCACCCTGCCCAGTTCTCCTGCTTTCCATCACCCTGCCCCATTCTCCCGCTTTCTATCACCCCGCCGCATTCTCCCGCTTTCCATCACCCCGCCCCATTCTCCCTCCTTCCATCACCCCGCCCCATTCTCCCGCTTTCCATCACCCCACCCCATTCTCCCTCCTTCCATCACCCCGCCCCATTCTCCCTCCTTCCATCACCCCGCCCCATTCTCCCGCTTTCCATCACCCCGCCCCATTCTCCCGCTTTCCATCACCCCGCCCTATTCTCTCGCTTTCCATCACCCCGCCCCATTCTCCCGCTTTCCATCACCTTGCCCCGTTCTCCCGCTTTCCACCACCCTGCCCCATTCTCCCGCTTTCCATCACCCCGCCCCATTCTCCTGCTTTCCATCACCCCGCCCCATTCTCCCTCCTTCCATCACCCCGCCCCATTCTCCTTCCTTCCATCACCCCGCCCCATTCTCCCGCTTTCCATCACCCCGCCCCATTCTCCCGCTTTCCATCACCCCGCCCCATTCTCCCGGTTTCCATCACCCCTCCTCATTCTCCCGCTTTCCATCACCCCGCCCCATTCTCCCGCTTTCCATCACCCCGCCCCATTCTCTCGCTTTCCGTCACCCCGCCCCATTCTCCCGCTTTCCATCACCCTGCCCCGTTCTCCCGCTTTCCATCACCCTGCCCCATTCTCCCGCTTGCCATCACCCCGCCCCATTCTCCCGCTTTCCATCACCCCGCCCCATTCTCCCGCTTTCCATCATCCCGTCCCCTTCTCCCGCATTTCATCACCCCGCCCCATTCTTCCGCTTTCCATCACACCGCCCCCTTCTCCCGCTTTCCATCACCCCGCCCCATTCTCCCGCTTTCCATCACCCCGCCCCACTCTCCCGCTTTCCATCACCCCGCCCCATTCTCCCTCCTTCCATCATCCCGCCCCATTCTCCCGTCTTCCATCACTCCGCCCCATTCTCCCGCCTTCCATCACCCCGCTCCATTCTCCCGCTTTCCATCACCCCACCCCATTCTCCCGCTTTCCATCACCCCGCCCCATTCTCCCTCCTTCCATCACCCCGCCCCATTCTCCCTTTCCATCACCCAACCCCATTCTCCCGCTTTCCATCACCCCGCCCCATTCTCCTGCTTTCCATCACCCCGCCCCATTCTCCCTCCTTCTATCACCCCGACCCTTTCTTCCTCCTTCCATCACCTCGCCCCATTCTCCCGCTTTCCATCACCCCGCCCCATTCACCCGCTTTCCATCACCCCGCCCCATTCTCCCGCTTTTCATCACCCCGCCCCATTCTCTCACTTTCCATCACCCCGCCCTATTCTCCCGCTTTCCATCACCCCGCACCATTCTCCCTCCATCCATCACCCCGCCCCATTCTCCCGCTTTCCATCACCCAACCCCATTCTCCCGCTTTCCATCACTCCGCCCCATTCTCCTGCTTTCCATCACCCCGCCCCATTCTCCCTCCTTCTATCACCCCGACCCATTCTTCCTCCTTCCATCACCTCGCCCCATTCTCCCGCTTTCCATCACCCCGCCCCATTCTCCCGCTTTCCATCACCCCGCCCCATTCTCCCGCTTTTCACCACCCCGCCCCATTCTCCCGCTTTCCATCACCCTGCCCCATTCTCCCGCTTTCCATCACCCCGCCCCATTCTCCCGGTTTCCATCACCCCGCCCCATTCTCCCGCTTTCC